TTCTATTCTTCTTTTTAGCGTTTATTTTAGGCTATAAAACACAGGTGGAGGTGTTTTATCCTATTGGTGATTAATATAAAATAAACGCTAAAAAGAAGACTATTTTGTGAGTGCGGATCATGGTCTCATAGGCTACTATGAAAAATAATGTTTAATAAACACAATACTATGCATCCCGCACCGTGGTTGAATCTGCCGGTGGGGGCGGAGCCACAAATCCACGAGTTTACAAACCCGAGGGAACGGATTGTGAAAGCGTGCGCACGGATTATGAAATTGTGGCTACGGATTCAAAACCCGAAGGTACGGTTTACAAAATCTGAGCGCACAGATTGATAATTCGTGGGTACGGTTTATTAATCCGTGGGCACGATTTGTTAAACCGAGGGAACAGTTTAAGAATTCGTGAGTACGGTTTATAAACTGAGGGGACGGATTGCAAAACCGTCGCCACGGATTGTTTTTTTTTCTCCTACAGGTGACTTCCCGGGCTCCGTAGTTTTCCACCTGTAAAATCACAAAATATATATTTACACACACATATAGAATTAAAAAAAATTTCTCTCTCTAAATTATAAATCTAAATATAAATGAAAAGTTAAAAAATACAAATGTGCATGTTTTATTTTTTTAATTAAATGCATGATTATTTTATTTTTTCAATTGTTACATATATTTAAATATAATCATTTTTTAATGAATGAAAATACAATTATTTTATTTACTACATTTTCCAAATGTTATATATAAATAAAAAATAATACAAATCGAACTCAATATATTTTAATTATTATATATATTTTTTAAAACATTTAAATTTATTTAACACATACTTTTTTTTATATAACACATGATTGTTTTTATTATTTGTGTGTGTGTATATATATATATATATATTTAGATATAAATTATTGTTCTTATTTTTTATTTTAATTTCTATATATAAATTAAAAAAATTTAAAAGTTTAAATTGTTTTATTTTTACATTTTATTTTAATCTTTATTTTTTTAAACTAGGGTTTCCTCTGACCTGCATATTTTCACAGGCTGTGTTTGTAACTCTGCTGCAGACTATATGTAAATGAGCTGTTATGATTGACCAATCACATGATCTCTCTCTCTCTCATTAGTGTTGAGTTCTCGTTTGCTGAAGTCTCAGTCTGCGGACAGTTTGCTGAACAGTGACATGGACACCACGCCCCCTCAGGTCACCACAGACAATCACAGATGGCTGGACGGCTTGGGGGCGGTGTCAAAGGAACTGGACTCCGCCTCCTCTCACGGAGCACCGCAGACGCGACACCACGCCCCCTCAGGTCACCACAGCCAATCACAGCTGGCTGGACAGTTTGGGGGCGGTCTCAAAGGAACTGGGCTCTGCCTCCTCTCACGGAGGGCCGCAGACGCAGGAGGCGTTTCTCTCTCCTCTCATCAACAAAGGTTTGCGTTAAACCAGTCTTTGTGTCGGTATCTCTTTTTCTTTCTATCTTTCTCATGTTATATTTCTCTGTTTATCAGGAGAGGAGTGCAGCATCGGTTCAGCCACGGACCTGACTGAGACCAGCTCCATGGTGGATGGTGATTGGACGATGGTCGACGAGAATTTCTCCACCCTCAGTCTCAGCCAATCAGAGCTGGAGCACATCTCCATGGAGCTGGCCAATAAAGGGCCACATAGAAGTCAGGTGCAGCTGCGGTGAGTCAGTCCAGTCTGATGAATCTAATGCAAGCGATCGTCGAGTCTGATGACGAGATGCTGACGTGAGTGTGACTGACAGGTATCTGCTGCACGTCTTCATGGAGGCCGGCTGTCTGGAGTGGTGCGTCGTCATCGGGCTGATCTTACGAGACGCCGGCATCATTAAGCAGGTCGTGGGGTTTTTGGACAGTCCAGAAGTCCCTCCAGAAACGGTCCAGAGCATCCGAGCCGGTCTGAAAGCTGTCGACCTGTGGGCCTCGTCTGATTGGTCAGTATCACTGGCAAATTTCATTTCATATATTAATGTCTTTGTTGAATGTGTTTAAGTGCTAATCATACACATTTAATGAGAAAATAAAAATATATAATTTAGAGAAAAATGTAAACAAAAATGATTTAAATTAATCCTCAGTCATTTTTTTTTTCTTAAAAAATGTATGCACTACTGTATCTGTAATAGTTTTTAATGGTTTTAATTAAGTCTTTTCTGCTCACCAAGGCTGCATTTATTTGATCAAAAATATTGTAAAAAATGTGAAATATTATTACAATGTACAACAGCTGTTTTCTATGTGAATATGTGTTAAAATATAATTTATTTCTGTGATGCGCAGCTGAATTTTCAGCATCATTACTCCAGTCTTCAGTGTCACATGATCTTCAGAAATCATATTAATATGCTGATTTCTGATTATTATCAATGTTGGAAACAGTTGTGCTGCACAATATTTTTGTGGAAACTGTGATACATTTTATTTTTCAGGATTAAAATATTCTTACTGATCCCACACTTTTGAACAGTAGTATATAACTGTATAAATATATATATTCAAAAGTGAGGGGTCAGATATTATTTTTTACTTGTTTGTTTTATTTTGTTTGTTTATGATAATAAATAAAAATTAATATGACCCCACGCTTTTGAATATATTAATATATAGTGAAATTATATTAAACAAAAAATAATAATAATAATATCACTATATATAAATATATATTCTAAAATGTGGGGTCAGACATATTTTTTTGTTATATTTTGTATATTTATTATTTTATTTTAATTGTTTTATTTTCATATCAGTATAAATATATATTCCAAAGTGTGGGGTCAGATATTCTTTATTTATTTGCTTATTTTATTTTTTCACACTAACATCCAGATGTAGTGTCAGTCATTGTTTCTTACAACAGAAACATTTAATGTTAAGTTTTCCACCCTCTCTCTGACTCTTACGGTTTGATTACTTCTGTACTGTTTCTGATGTGAAGTAAACATTTATTCACTCTCTCTCTCTTTCTGTGTTTGTGGTCAGTCTGGGCTACAAGCCGTTCCTGAACCTGGTTGGTCCGCAGCTGCTGAAGCTTCTGGAGGTTCCTGTGGAGCAGGTTCAGCCCGAAGCCTTCCAGCCGACCGGAGCGTCCAAACTGAGCGAGCCTCCGCTGCTGCTGCTGCCCCGAGCCGAGGAGCTGTCCGCTGCTCACCCGCTGCCCTCGGACGGCCCCGCCGGAGCCAGTGCCCGGCCCCTGAACGACACGCCGCCGGAGGAGCAGGAGCCGCTGGAGGAGGGATCGTATGACTGCACGCTCTCATGATGCCGCGCTCCAGCGTGTGTGTGTGTGTGTTCCTGCTCGTCCACACTGCAGTGTCCTGTGTGTTTTGCTGCGTTTTCAACATCCTGTGGTCAACAGCATCATGTTTTCTCTCTTCACCTCCACGCTGCAAAAAATCTGTTTCTTCATTAGTTTTTTTGTTTTTAGCTCTTCCAGTACAAACATCTAAACATTCTGACATCAAGATACATTTACTGGAGAAATCAAATATTGCTGATAAAAGTCATCAAAATGAATCGAGTTCATGCTTAAAACAAGAAAATATATCAATGTTTTTTTGGGCTAAAAATTGTGATTTTTCTTTTATAATATTTATTAAATGATCATATTTGTTCTTGTTTTAAGCATTAACTCACAATTTTGATCATTTTTCAGACTGGTGATGTAATCAGACACATGCATTTATTTTCCAAATTTATTTTGCAATTAAGATGCTTTTTTGCTATTAATCTTAAATATGCATTTTTTTAATTGCTATATCTATTTTTCATCACTCTCTCTCTCTCTCTCTCTCTCTCTCTATATATATATATATGACTGTCTCTCTGCTCATGTAGGAGCTGTGCTGGGTATGTTACTCATCATGTCTGGAGTGACTGTGTGCGTGCTGAGTTCTGTCTCTGAGATGGACAGCGCAGGAGCCCACAACACAAGTGACCACTACATTCCACTGGACTAGGAGGTGAAGGAGGACTGTGGATCTGCTCCAGCCATGTGATCACACCTCACACACACAAACATATTCATCTGACACAATATCTGTGCTGCTCCATTTTCAGTATGTGCTGTGCATTTGTGCTAAGAGGTGGTGATGGATGACTTTATATCTGTACTTGAACCATGCTGGTGAAATCCAAATGTTTTGCACTTTAATTGCTACTGTGGAAAGAGTAACTTTTAAGTGTGTGGATTGTGGAACATACAAAATACTTGTATATATTGTATTATTAACTGATATTTATATGGATTCGTATTAATAATGTGAAAGTGCCCAGTGTTTAAATACTTTTATTTTAAATGTCTTTTACATTCAGAGGTATTATTTTGTTAAACATAAGAAATAAAAAAGTAAAAACATTTCTCAGTGAATCTCTGCATGCTGTAAGATCACTGTTATTTTGCAAGGGTACATTATTTTAAATGCTATTCATTCACCAAAGCAATCCCAATTTCATAGCGAACTCCATGTTCAGAGAATGTGTGTATCTTCAGCCTGAAGAGGTCGCTCAGCATCCCTGTCTGTCTGTTCCTCATGAAAAACCCCAGTCTGGTACACACACACATACTGCTTAATTTTTATTAGAAAACAAGAATTAATAATCTGATCAAAATGAGCAAAATCAAGTCATTTAGTTTCTCAGGTAAATGTATCTCAATTTAAGAATATTTAGATATTTGTACTGGAAAAAATAAAAACAAAATTCAAAAGACAAATAGTAAGAAAGTGTGTTTTTGCAGTGGCCCGGCATCACTGTCGATCATCTTCAAAGCGAATCCTGAGTTCTGTGGGAAGCAGTGATTACTGATCAGCGTGTTTTCATTGGTTTGCATGTTAATGATGAACGAGCAGCCTGACGCTGTGTTATTGATGCAGAGATCTGATCCGGATCATGTTTGTTGTTCTGACACTGACAGGTTTTATTGGTTTTTAATCTGCGAGTCGCTTCTGTCCCGTGCTTCTCTGTGAACCGTGAGCTGATGACCGTTCATTGATCAAGCATCAAGACAAACACATGCTTTATTTATTTCCCAATGTTATCTTACAGCCATGATATTAATCTCCATCACTAGATCTTGGCTGACTGCATTATTGCGATGATTTTGTGTTTGTTTGTTTCTGAATTGCATTATTGAATGTTTGTGTATTTATTTGAGCAGCAGGACAAAGAGACGTGAACAAGATCGTCAGTATTAATGTGTTCAGTGTTCGTCTCGTTAGCGCTGCCTTCACAACGGACCAAATCATCTATCTACACGCATCTATGCCTTTGTATTATTATTATTAATATACTACTTGTAGTTCTTATGCATTATTGGCAGTCGTCTCTGAGTATTTAGCAGCTTTAATGAGATGCATCTTTATTTTATTGTTTTATTTCCCCCCGAACGGCTCAAACGAGCAGCTTCGACCGGTCTGATCTGGTTTAATCTGGTTTAATGACTCCCAAACCAGCTGAGTGCCCAAAACCCCGTAAAACCAGCGAAACAGGGCAGTCTGGCAGCGTCAGGCCGGTTTCAGTGGTTTCTCCTCCTGTCGCAGTATTCCTGATGATCATGTTCACAAACCAGAGAGCTTCACGGACGCGTTCATGCTACGGATTACCCACAATCCCTCTGACGTCACAGGACTGATGATGTGGTTTCACGCGGACTGAGGGTTTGATCTGGTTTGAGTCGGTCCTCGAGTTCTGTACAGTTTAGAGTTTCTTGTCAATGCAGTGTACAGAGAGTTTCCTGGACAATAACTTTTCTACTCTGTTTTCTATCTTTCCTGTACATAAAGAACAATAAATTATTTTTTAAACATCATGTGTGCTGTTTTTTTTTTCGTAATCTGTTTCAGAAAATATTTTTATACTTAACAGTATTTTTAAATTCACTACTATTTTTATTCATCAAGAATGCATTAAATTGATGAAGAGTGCCAGTAAAGATGTAATGTTACAAAAGATTTCTATTTCAAATAAATGCTGTTCTTTTGAACTTTCTACACTCTAAAAAATGCTGTTGGGTTGTTTTGACCCAGCATTTGGGTTGTTTTGACCCAGCTGTTGGGTTGTTTTGACCCAGCATTTGGGTTGTTTTGACCCAGCGGTTGGGTTGTTTTGACCCAGCGGTTGGGTTGTTTTGACCCAGCGGTTGGGTTGGTTTGACCCAGCGGTTGGGTTGGTTTGACAACCGCTGGGTCAAAACAACCCAATAGATGGGTTTGTCCCTTTTTAACCCAGCGTTTTTTTTAGTGTATTCATCTGTGAATCCTGTAAAATAAAATGGATTTCACAAAAATATTGGGCCGCACAACTGTTTTCAACATTGTTAATAATCAGAAATGTTTCTTGAGCAGCAAATCAGCATATTAGAATGTGCTGTTTTAAACTAATACTTTTTTATTATTTTTACTGTATTGATCATATAAATGCAGCCGTGGTGAGCAGAAGAGACTTCTTTCAGAAACATTGCAAAGTCTTACAGATACAAACTTTAAACAACAGTGTAAAAACATTTTTTTTCAAAAAATATTTTCAAAATATTTTTTCAGTTGACTGATGATGATTTATGTTTGTTTATATTTTTATCTTTCAAAAACATTAAAAAAAAAAAATCTTTAGTTTAACAAAAGAAAAAATGACAGGAGAGCATAAGTGATTTTGTAATTGAAAGATGATTCATCTCAGAAGAACAATTCAGTGCAGCAAATGATATTAATAAACATGAACAAGACGAGACTGAAAATTACACGGAAACAATTAAATCAACCTCTAACAGACATTAATGAACAATTAAACAATCAAGTGATCCTTATGTGACAAGAAATGAGTTTGATACAGTTTGAGTCACAAAACGTTTCACAATATGAGAAATTAAGAGAAACGTTATCAAAAATATTTACAGATTTGTCACATGTGATCACAGTTATTATGACTATTTTACAGATTTTCTGTCTCCTTGCTTCTGTTTGCTCAAGTCAGACATGCAGATGTAACACTAGTTAGTGAAGTTAGTAAAGAGCCCCAGTAAAACCGTAACGACGGCATGGGTTATAGTGTAAAATAAAGAGCAGCCTGTCATTCATAAATAATTCTCACTGAACATTCTCCCAAACGCATGTCGACTTTCATCACAAAACAAAAAGACAAACGCAGGTTAGTGTTATGAACAGCATTAATTAAACATTCATTATCAGTCATATTTCCACGTTCATCTGAAATCTGGAACAGAGAAACACATTTATCACTTAAGTTTGAATTTGTTTTAGATTTAAAGATCTCAACCTCAACAAAACAGAAATGCACCGGATAAATAAAAATCACAGAAAAAAATGCAATGTCTTGATCCAACCATCAGATAATAAAAGGACAAAGATTCTGAAGCTCAAATTTTACATGAGATGCACTAGGATTTACTGTCATTTGTGACCCACAAAACCAGTCATAAGGGTCAATTTTTTGAAATTGAGATTTATGCATCATCTGAAAGCTGAATAAATAATCTTTCCATTGATGTATGGTTTGTTAGGATAGGACAATATTTGAAAATCTGGAATCTGAGGGTGCAAAAAAATCTAAATATTGAGAAAATCATCTTTAAAGTTGTCCAAATGAAGTTCTTAGCAATGCATATTACTAATCAAAAATTAAGTTTTGATATATTTACGGTAGGAAATTTACAAAATATCTTCATGGAACATGATCTTTACTTAATATCCTAATGATTTTTGGCATAAAAGAAAAATCAATAATTTTGACCCATACAATGTATTGTTGGCTATTGCTACAAATATACCCCAGCGACTTGAGACTGCTTTTGTGCTGCAGGGTCACATATGACAATTATATATTTTAGTAAAACAAGCTAAATGTAAATTGAGTTATGTCATATACACGAAACAAATGCAGGCGATGTGAATTCATCAATTTTTAGTCAGTGAATTAATGCATGAATTAATGTAATAATTATATTTTATTCACTGATAACGATGGGAAACATTAACACAAATGAGTAAATGAAACATGAGGGAATTAATGAATAAAAGTAAATAAATACATATACAAGTGAACAACACATGAGATAAAGCTTTATTTCAATTTATCATTCCAAGAAACTATCAAATATTTACAGGCAGTGTAGCAGAGCAAGCCTTTGGCTGCTGAAAACAGTACACGCGGGCCCTCTGTTTTCTTCAAGCCCTGCCTTTGTGACTTGAGCTGTGCTTCACAATCTCGCTCTTCTTCTCAGTGGGGACTTTGTTGAGCCAGAGAATGAGGAAGACTATGATGATGCCCCTGAACCACACAACCTTGAAACAAGAGCGGGAGAACATGTACGGGACAATCTGGCTTTTTTTGCATTATCGGCACACTATTTTCCTGTTTAATACTGTAAAGCTGCTTTGACACAATCTGTATTGTTAAAAGCGCTATATAACAAGTGAACAACACATGAGATAAAGCTTTATTTCAATTTATCATTCCAAGAAACTATCAAATATTTACAGGCAGTGTAGCAGAGCAAGCCTTTGGCTGCTGAAAACAGTACACGCGGGCCCTCTGTTTTC